ACAAGACCAGGGTTCTGGAAGACACTCAATCCCATCGGCCCTACCTCAGAGGGAGTAGGGCGTCTCCTACAAGAGGACGCAAAGTCCTTCTTTGACACATTTGTGTTCAAGGCATCATAACAAAACCTTGTTTATGGAAACTTACCAAAAGATGTGTGTTCCGGTAAAGAAAGCAACACGCGAGACTCCCGCAAATCCTGTAGAATTAAACCAATCAGATGTGTCAAGTGTTTCCAATTTTGTGTGCCATATGCATTAGATGTTCAGCCACGGTTCATGGGCATGACGTCTGAGGCTGAGACTAAACAAACGCTGGTGTGGTTCAACAAGGGTCAAAAACATCTAAAATCAAAACAGGACGTGGTGTCACAGGATGCAACCCTAAAAAGGACAAAATATTAAAGCATACTTGGTTTTCTTGTACAGTGTACCTACCTAAGGAAGTTCTGGTAATATAAGGTAACTATATGGGGCAGGGTTAGGTTTAGGGGTAGGTTCAGGGTTAGTACCTTGTTATTACCTAGTTATAGTTATTACTATAATAAGTACATACTACATAGTATGAGGAACAGGACTGTAAAATAAAGTGCTACTGCCCAAAGTATACTTCACGAATGCTAAGCCTATGTGTACAGCCAAATGCATAGCTTTTTAAAGTATACTCCATTTGATAGCATGCGCAAATCCGTTTTATCGTCAGCCAGGTGAAAAATCGTAAAGCTTAAAGTATACTTAGCATTTGCGTACAGATGAACAGCATGGCCTTTTCAAAGTATGCTCCATGTTTATAGCATTCGCAAACCCGTTTTATTGTTCGCCAGGTGAAAATTGTAAAGCTCAAACTATACTTGGCGTTTGTGTATCCTTGACCATCATAGCCTTTCAAAGTATACTCCATTTTATAGTGTGCACAAACACAGGTGTTTGACACATGCGCACTATAAAGTTTCATCTTTGTTCAGTGTCTATTTTTTCGAGAAGTTATGAGCAATAAAAAAATGTCCCTAGAGTTGAGGGAATCTCTTCTGCACACAAGTGCATTGTTGGGTGTCTATTACTTAGAAGAGCTATGAACTTTGAATAAATCTGTTGAAATTCGCAAGAGGGACTTTGTAGTTTTTGTTTTCATCTCTCAGATCAGAACTGAGCAATGAAAATGGTTTTATGTGCCTCACTGGTGGGTTTACAGTTGCCTGTTTTCTTCGGTTTGCTTTATACAGTTCTGTTTTACCAGATTATGAGCTGTCCTTCATATGTTGTCATGGTTTTACTTCCAGAATTTAGATTTTTGCTGTCATACCACATGATATCCTTTACTCAAAGTAGCATATATATGCTAAATCTTTGGTAAATTTAGTCCTATATAATGAATGTTAGCTTGAGGTGTCAAGTGACACTCCAAGGTTCTGTCGTCAAGTTCTTCATTTCAAGTCCATTTTGAGCTGGCTGTGATCACACCTATCCAAAGTGATTTCAGGAGTTGTTTTGTTAATTCATTAGCACTAGAGATGTTATGAGCTGTAACCTGTGGTTTAGAAGTTTGTCAAGTTCAATATGGCTTGAAAGAATTTGAACGCTAGCTCATAATAGAATAAGAATGCTATGTTGTTTAAGTAACTCAGTTGATTTTCAGCTAATTTTATAATCCTTTAGCTATGAATGATATTACCATCAGCTCTGTTTAACCCAGTTGACCAGATGGTTTAAACAGATTTCCCTTCAAAATCAGTTTTTGAACCTTGACTTTTAAACATTAATACAGTAAACATTTTGTGCGTCAAAATGTAGCTTAGCCTGCACGAACGGTCAATTTAAATCCCAATTATATTTATTCTGTTCGTATAGAACAGGGGTGGCGAACTCCGGTCCTGGAGAGCCTCAGCCCTGCAGAGTTCAGCTCCAACCCTAATAAAAACTCACCTGCCTGTAGCTTCCTAGAAACCATTCAGACCTTGATTAGCTTGTTCAGGTGTGTTTGATTAGGGTTGAAGCAAAACTCTGCAGGGCTGCGGCTCTCCAGGACCGACGTTCGCCACCTGATATAGAATTAAAAAGCAGATTTTTGCTGGTCTAATGCTCTTTATTAGATGTGTGGTCGACCCTGGCTAGCGGAGAATAGCAGAAATCCTGCTGCATGTTTGTGCTCCAGCTTGAACTGTGGCCAAACCTATCATTGGTGAACAAGTTCTTGGAAAAAGCTCTTTTAAGGAGAACCACAATGTTGCCCAAACAGCTTCAGGATCCCACATTGACTGCTGGATCCAGAAATAACAGGACAACTAACTTGGTCATGAGGCTTGTTGGTGTGGATGTGCTATTTCAGATGTGAAAATGGAAAATTGGTTTGTTTGGGACATTGCACCCATCATGTTTTTCCTAACTTTGTGCGTCCAACTTTTTTCCATGTACGGTACAACAACAAATTTACCAAAAGTTTGAAGCTTGCTGGTGGAATTTATATAGTCATTATAGCTGGACATTAGGTAGTCCAAGCTATCCATTAGTGCTGATAACTGATAGAACATCTTTGACTAGCAGCAAACCAGCTTCCAGTTGGTTATGCCATCTTAGCTGGTCTACCAGCTTGTGGTCCAGATGGTTGACCAGCTGGAAACCAGGTACCATGTTCCAAAACACAGTTACCATCCTAAAGGTGTAGTTCACCCAAAACTACAGTGAGACAAGAACCAATTGAGTCTAATTTGTGAACAGATCATTCAAGGTGGTTTCAAATGATTCATTAAAGATCTGACTCAAACAAATTATTTGTTCACAATCACAAAATAATATAGGTCAGATGTTAAGATTTTCCCCTGTAATTAATAACTAATTGTAGTGACCAGAGTCAGTAAGTCAGAGACTGGTTCATTTTGATTTGTAAATGAATAATTCTGATTTTGTGAACCACTGAAATGATTCATTGAAGATCTGACTCAAAATAATTATATGTTTGCAGTCACAAATTAATGTATTTAGGGCAGATGTTAAAGGAACACTCCACTATTTTTGAAAATAGCTAATTTTCCAACTCCCTTAGAGTTAAACAGTTGAGCTTTACCGTTTTCGAATCCATTCAGCCGATCTCCGGGTCTGGCGGTAGCACTTTTAGCTGCAGCTTAGCATAGATCATTGAATCTGATTAGACCAGTGGTGGAAAGAGTAGGGAAAAAATATACTCAAGTAAAAGTACCATTACCTTCCAAAAAACGTAGTGTGAGTAGAGTAAAAGTACTTGTCCAAAAAACTACTTGAGTAAGAGTAAACCAGTAGCCTATTTAAAAGTACTGAGTATTGAGTAGTGAGTACTGAGCATTACTGTAACGTGAGTATTTGTAATTCGTTACTTCACACTCCTGGATTAGACCATTAGCATCTCGCTCAACGCAAGGTGGTCACGTTGGTTGTGTTGGCTGAAGTTAGCCTATTTCCAGGCGCTGCGTAATATCATTGCGCCTGCTGCACCCATGGTACGGCAGCAAAGTTCCTTGATTATTACGTCGGAATGAGAGGATATTTCCTAGCCATATCGGCCTAGAAAATCGCAACTTTTCATTTTCCGTCGGTCTTAGTACACGATGTAACTACAGAAGATTCAAGTTTTAAATAGGAAAAATATCGAAACTCTTTGGTCATTTTTGAGCGAGATGCTAACGGTCTAATCAGATTCAATGATCTATGCTAAGCTACAGCTAAAAATGCTACCGCCAGACCCGGAGATCGGCTGAATGGATTCGAAGCCGGTAAAGCTCAACTGTTTAACTCTAGGGGAGTTGGAAAATGAGCCTATTTTCAAAAATAGTGGAGTGTTCCTTTAAGATTTCCCCTCCAGTTAGCTGCTAATTGTTGCAAACGGATTATTGATTCAGTAAGTCAGGAACTGATTCATTCTGATTTGTGAACAAATTATTCTAATTTTGTGAACCATTTCAAATGATTTTTTGAAAATCTGACTCAAATGAATAACTTGTTCACAATCACAAACTAAGTTAGGGCAGATGATTTGATTTTCCCCTCCGCTTAGCTACTAATCGTTGCGACTGGACTATTAAGTCACTAAGTTAAGAACTTATTCATTTTGATTTGTGAATGAATTGTTCAGGTAGTTAGGTAAGGTAGTTAGGGCAGATGTCAAAATTTTCAGTAGGAATTCCTCAAATTATGGTTTGCTTGTCACATGAAGTTGCCAAATAAGTTCAATATAAGTCATATAAACCACTTTTATGACGTATTTTTTTAAGCTTAAAATCTCCAGATTCATTCTTTGTAAAGGAAAAGAGCAACCAACACATTTCTCAGAATTTCTCCTTTTCTATTCTATGAACAAAAGTTAGAAACGACATGAGAGTGAGTAAACAGAATGTAAATTTTTGGGTTAAAGCTGTTTTTAGCTGGATTTTCCAGCAGGCCCGTCATCTTAGTTTTGCTGTTGCTTTCTCACTGCATGGCTATGAGCTGCTCTGTCTAGCGGCCAATGCCCTGTTTAGAGCAGCATGTGTCTGTTGATGCCACATGCATATGCAATTTCCGAGAAAGCTTGTTGGCCTTGATTGGGATGCCATGGAAACCGAGGAACACGGCTGAATGGGAGCATGTGCGGATGCATCTGGGACGACTGTGGGGTGAGAAGCACAGCTCAAGAAATCCAGCCGTCATCTTCACATGATTTATTTTTATCAAACCATCTTTGTCAACAAACGTCCCAGTCGCTGTTGACAGCTGCTGCTGATGCTTGAGGGGCGGCGACAGAATATAAATGCAGGTTGAATAATGAAGTTGGCTGATGCTGTCTGACCCGCTGACTCTTGAAGTCTGGTTATAATTGCAGACGAATATGTCTTCATAGGTTTTGTTTATATTTTTACACAAATCTGATTTGGTTTCAAATCCTGATCTTTAGGGATGACTATCAGCACTTTCATTTTGCAAATGATGCAATCTGATATTTTTATTCAGATATTGTTGTGAATATCCGATCAATCACTTTTCTTTTTCTTTCCTAGACTCTACATCGAAAAAGGCTTTCATAACAGAGGTACATTGCTTTTCTCACATATCAACAATATCTACTGTTAGACTGCAGATGAACCTGTTCATGCAGGGATTGCAGGTTGGTGGTATCTCATATTTACACTCTTTATACCAGATGCCTTCATCGTCAGGCCAGCCAGCCCATGGGAAGAAGATCGGACACAGAGGAGTGGACGCTTCTGGAGAAACCACGTATAAGAAGGTGCATTGGGCCTACTCAATTTCAGCAACTTTTTCTTGATTTGATATTGATTCCGTTCAGATTATTTTAGTTACTTCTAGGGATGGACAGTATATCGGTACTATATCAGCCAATATTAGTATTTTTTAATATACTTTTTTTTTTTTTTATATAAAAACAAAACCTAAGATTTTTGCATTTTTATTTTTAAAATTTTTTTATATCGGTTCATATTGTATATTTAATTGTACATGCCAGTTTCCTCTCTTTTTATATTTGAATTACCTTTGCCATCATCTAATGTTGACCTAAAATTAATCACTTTTTCTAGATTCGATACTGATTCCATTCAGATTATTTTAGTTACTTCTAGGGATGGACAATATATCGGTACCATATCAGCTAGCATTTGTTTTTTTTATCTTACATTTTTTTATTTAAAAAAAAATAAAAAATGTTATTATTTTTTTACATTTTGTATCGGTTAATATTGTATATTAAATTGTACATTCAGATTATTTCATTTACTTCTAGGGATGCACGATATATCGGTACCATATCAGCCGATATTAGGACATTTTTAGTGTATAAAAAAATTATTAAATTTTTCAATGTTTTATATCGATTGATGTTGTGTATTTAATTGTCCATGCTAATTTTCCACCATGTAATGTTAACCTAAAATTTATCGTTAAACCAATAATTCACTTCAAAATGAATAAAAATATTTTCAGAATGTAAATTTGAATTTTGTAATGCCTAAATTCACTTTAGTGTTTAACATAATTGATTTTAGTTTAAAGTTACATTTTTAAATTTTTTTTGACAAAATAGTGTTTAATTGTAATATTGACTGTTCATCAGTTATTGGGCGTATTATATACAAAATAACTACATGTATAATAATAACATGCAAATGATTTTTTGGTTTATCTGTTTCGACCAGAATTGTAATATTGCTAATAAGCTCAGCAGAAATGTGGCACCAGATGACATCTAAACAGAAAATGCAGAAGATCAGTCAATGGGTTTAGGGTTAATATTTATGAGTCACATCATCTATATCCTCTTCAGACCACATCTTCAGCACTCAAGGGGGCCATTCAGCTAGGGATTGGCTACACGGTTGGCAACTTGAGTTCCAAGCCTGAGCGGGACGTCCTCATGCAGGATTTCTATGTGGTGGAGAGCATCTTCTTCCCCAGGTGCGCTGTCTGTCTGAAGTTGAGGGTGGATGTGGAATTTCACATGAAAAAAAATGATCTTCTCTTTGTTCTTCCAGTGAAGGGAGCAACTTGACGCCAGCCCATCATTTCCCAGACTTCCGTTTCAAAACCTATGCTCCCGTCGCCTTCCGTTACTTCAGAGAGCTCTTCGGGATACGGCCGGATGACTATTTGGTGAGAAATATAAGCTAAAGGCTGGATTTTTATAATAAATGCTTGTATTTATTTAGGATTATTGAAGAATCACTCAAGCAAAATTCATTGTCATTTGTTTATGTGTATCTCAATCTGTGATTGCCTTTAGTATTCGCTCTGTAACGAACCACTGATCGAGTTGTCCAATCCTGGAGCCAGTGGCTCAGTCTTTTACGTCACGAAGGATGATGAGTTCATCATTAAGACAGTCTTGCACAAGGAGGCAGAGTTTTTGCAGAAGCTTCTTCCTGGATATTACATGGTGAGTTGCTGTACTTTGACTGATACATTTCAAAGTAGTGGTCAACCAATAAGTCGGATGCCGATATCTCGAAAGCAGGGTGCATATATTATACAACACATATATATTGCATGATATAGTACAGTCTAATAATAGAAAATGATGTGTAGCCTACATAAAATTTGTGAAATGCTTATTTTAGACAGTAATCCATAATGGTGAGCTAATATTTATGGCCAAATATCAACCTGAAAATAATTATCGGCTTATCAGTATCGGCCAGAATTATTGGTGTAGAATTAGTGATATTGGTTTTCAGTGTCCAATATAATATCTAAAGAGTAAATTAGCTGATAGTTAATATAATGCTGCTAAATATGATGCAGTACATGTATTCTATATTTAATATGTATCGGAACTATCGCCGGATTATCAGCCTGGCTGATATATCGGTGTATCACTGATGCAGACCTTTATACAGTCTTCAGCTGCAGTTTAAGCTAGGATAAAATATACTGTTTATGTTGCACTGTTAAATGTTCTGTATTTTTTGAGAAACATGCTCTCTAGATTTCTAGCCCATTATCACATGCTGTCACAAATCAACCGCCTGGTTAAACAACAACACTGCTGATTACCCAACAAGTTATTTTGAACTAATTTCTCCCCCGAGGCGATATGTCTACTATTTACCTGAATAACAAAACAAATGACACAATTAGCATGTAAGCCGTGCCCGTTCCAGTTTTCTGTCTCCAGTGGACCATTTCATTCCACAATATAAGTACAAAAGGGTTCGGTTTCCAAGAGAACATGAGTATTTTTTTGAGTAGATGATGCCTAAATGGGTTCTCAGTGTCAGCAGAGTCTAACCAGCGACTGGCTTGGCTTGTTCCATCCATTCATCTGGAGCTAATGAGCCCATGAATGGTGACGGATCAGTTGTTGTTTAGCAACAGTGCTGACCTTGGCCAGTTCGTGGTCTACAGAAACCTGTCTTTATTACTGTCTGGCTCTTTTCCTCATTCTGTTTCTCTTCTTTGATCATATCTTGTAGGACATGTCACCTATGCGAAGGTGATGGGTGTCACAAAGCTTTTCTAGGTTGGATATCCGCTTCATTGCTTTGCTTTTGTGTGGTGATATTTAAGAGGATTTAAACTCCAAACTAATTGGAATCAGGTGGTTTTACTATGCCCTGGAACATTAACTGGCAAAATGAATGTCATTGACTTAAGAAAGGTGTTTTTCGGGTTGAAATGGAGTGTTTTGTGTCTGGAATGCGGAAAAAAACTAATAACCTTTACCTTAATTTAATGCATAAATGCCTTTAATAAACTTGGATTAACAAAAGTGTGATTTGCATGCCATATAAAAATATATTTTTTGGGGTTTTTTTTTACTCTTAGTGGGATTTTGTTATGATAAACAGATGTGCGTTGCAATATTCACATGATTTTTAAAAACATTTATACATACTGTTCCTAATCTGTGTGACTTTTTTTCCCCTGTAGAACACAAAAGATGTTTTGATGAATATTGACGGTGCTCTTTTCCAAATTGTGATGCCATCAAGAAATGTAAAAAAAGCTAAATAAAAGTATCATAAATGTTCTTTTTGTGAGGAAAAAGCCAAAAAAATGAATATCTAATTTTTATTTTCCCATATTCAAACTCGAGTTGCAAGTTCGTAAAACTTGTCACAGTACATTTTGGCATGCAAAATTGGAATAAAAATGAATAAATAATGACAAAACTGTAATTTTGGGGTGAAATATTGCTTTAAAGAATTCAAACAAAATTTAAACAAAATTAATTGGAAAAGGCCTAAAAGTTGTTCTTTGCTGAATATCTTTCTGTGGGTCTTAAAGTGTGTGGTTGCCGCAAGCCCGCCGGCCGCTCCTTCGTCGAATCCACCGACTCTGCTCACTCTAGCCCTCCGGCCGTTCCTCACACTAGACCCCGGCCTCTGCTCACTGTAGGCCACCACCGCTCACTCTAGCCGCCGTGTGTGACACTGTGTTTCGTTGTGAAAGCGAAATTACTTTGTTTGGCCTTCCAAAAATGGACACGACTAGAAATCAGTGGTTAAGTTGTATTTACAACACTGTTCCAGAACAGTTTAACCCAAATATTCAGATGTGTGCAGCACATTTTATGGAGGACCATTTCCTGATCCTGGGATACACTGCAAAAAAAACCAACAACAATTCAAAACTATTTTCAAACTTTGAAGCGTTGCTAATACAAGACATTTACTTTTAGACATGTTGACATATTGTGTTCCACTCAATTTAATTTAATACATTTTCTTCGTCTTAAAAAGTCTTAAATTTACCTTCATAAAACCTGCAGAAACCATTTGTATTTTCTCACATTTAAACTTAAGTTCCAAGTTGCAAATTTGTCGCAATACATTTTGGCGCACAAAATTTGAATAAAATGTATTTAATAATGACAAAATAATGTCAAAACTTTAATTTTGGGGTGAAATATTTTGTTAAAGAATTAATAAATTAATTGGAAAAGGCTAAAATTTTGTTTAATTGCTAAATATCTTATATCAGGGTTTCTGTGGGTCTTAAAATGACCCTGTCGTTTGTATTTTCACATATTTAAACTTAGGTTGCAAGTTTGTCAAACCTGATGCAACAAATTTTTGTGCAAAGAATTTCAATATCAGGTGAATAAATGATGACAGAATTGTAATTTTAAAGTGAACTATTCCTTTAAGGAATAAATAAATGCATTATACAAAGCATGTAACCAACAAATACAAATGTACACATTCTTCGACAGATGTTTAGCACTTAGGTTTGAATCTTTGTTCGCTTTGACTAAATCGTGTTTGATTTTTCAAATGTTTGTTTCCTACAGAACTTGAATCAGAATCCTCGCACCTTATTGCCCAAGTTCTTCGGGCTGTACTGCGTACAATCGGGCGGGAAGAACATTCGGATGGTGGTCATGAACAACGTTCTGCCCAGGGTGGTGCGCATGCACCTCAAATACGACCTAAAGGGGTCCACGTACAAACGACGGGCCTCTAAAAAAGAGCGGGAAAAGGCGAAGCCCACTTTCAAAGACCTTGATTTTATGCAGGACATACAAGAGGGTCTCATGCTGGATACAGACACATACAGCGCCCTGGTCAAGACGTTACAGAGAGACTGTTTGGTAAGTTCTCCCTAGTGTGCTGCTGTCTAGAGCGGACAAGTCATTCAGGACGAATATTGATGTGTTTTTGGTGTATAGGTCTTGGAAAGCTTTAAGATTATGGATTATAGTTTGCTGCTGGGAGTTCACAACATCGATCAGGCAGAGAAAGAGCAGCAGATGGAGGGATCTCAGGGCAACAGTGATGAAAAGAGGCCGCTGGCACAGAAAGCGCTCTACTCCACTGCCATGGAGTCCATCCAGGGAGCGTCGGCCTGTGGAGAAGAGATTGACACTGAGGACACGTGAGTTGCTGAAATTAGTCCATGTTTTGACACTTATAAAGGATATTTAAAAAAATATGTGATGCATTTTCAGATATATCAAAAAATATGTATAAGTAACAGGGATGCAATTACAAAATTGTAATACTATTTTTCTTTTCTTTTAAAAACTCTAAATTTGTGTTTGTAATCTTTAGAAAATCTGGCGAAAAATGTGAAAAATCGAAGTCCCATCATGTTAGATATCCTATTTCATCTGCAAGTGCATTTATGGAAGCTAAAGGATTGCAAACAACAAATTCATGTTGACTTTTTTTAGAAGTCAGAATTTTTGTTTGTTGTTGTTGGTGTGTTTTTATTTGTTTATATTTATACTTTATCAGTCAGTTTTTTCTCTTTTTTTCTTTCTCATTTGGGAAATGCTTTTCAGCATGTTTCTATTTTTATTTTGCCTAAATAAATTTAAAATGTGTTTTTTTTACTTAAAAAAAAAAGGATGAATTTGTGTTTGTAATCTTTATAAAATGTGGGAAAATAAATTGTCCTTTTAGAGGTCCTGTTTCATCTGGAAATGTATCACGTTATGGAAATAAATAACATACAAACAACAAATTCATATTAACTAACCAAAAAATACAACTTTGTTAGAAGTGAATAAAAAAGTTATTCATAAAAGTGATTTATTTTCATTTTTTTATCAGTCTTTTTTTACTCAGATTTTTTTTTAAAGATTTAGCTAACTTTGGGAAACACTTTTCAACATTTTTCTGTTTTTGCCTAAATAAGTAAAATATGTTTTTTCCTTTAAAAACTGTGTTTGTAATCTTTATAAAATCTTGATAAAATTACGTTTTCAGTTAGAGATCCTGTTTCATCTGGAAATGCGTCACATTATAGAAGTAAATAACCTGCAAACAACAAATTCATCATGTTTACTAACCAAAAGGTGAACAAAGACAGTTTCCTTTTGTGTTTTCTGTTTTGTTTTGATCTTATTTTCATTTTTATTTTGTTTGGTTTTATTTAATATTTATGTAAACACAGATTTTTAGAAGTGAACAAAGATTATTTGTTGTGTTTGTTTTTTTGTTTTGTGTTTTCTCTGTTTTAATCTTAATTCTTTCTTTTTTTTCATTTCATGTTTATTAGCTATTTTTCTTCTTAAAGTATTTATTTATTTATTTTTATTTTATTTAGACAACTTTGGGAAATACTTTTCAGCACTGTTGCAATTTTATTCCCAAAGGTATAGCTACACATTTAATTTCAGTGGAATAATCGACATCTTGCAGTCTTACAGGTGCTTGCGTCAATCTCTCCGACTCATGCCACTTACTATTTACATCAAGAAGTGTGTGATTCATTTCTGCCAGTATGATTTGGAAGCACTATGGAATAACTTTATTCATTTTCTGTTTAGGTTAATAAAGAAATTGGAGCATACGTGGAAGGCTCTAGTCCATGATGGGGTAAGAAATACATTGAATTTCATTATATTATCTAGATATATCATCTATATTATCTATTATCTAGAAAAGACCTTCTGAAATACATCACTGTCCCTTGCAAGACGCTCCATTTCATCACTTTGGAAGAAAAGCTTTGGCCAAGTTAACATCCAGCTGTGTTTTCAGACTCTGTGGTCTCCGACCTTCAATATAATTCCTCATACTTCCTTCATTTTCATATTAAAGCATGATCTGCTGCGGTACATTAGCGTGAATGGGGTTTAGTGAGAATTACAGGGTTTTGGAGAAAATGCTTGTGAAATGTGCACTAATTTGGGGCTGTTTTTCTCAGAGGATGTGCTAATTGTGCTATTGCTGGATATGCATATACCACACACACGCACACACTCATTTTTCTCTCGGCTCAGCTGTGAATAAAGGAGATTTCTCCAACCCTGCCTGTGACGCAACAGTCTACGCCATACTGCCAATGGCTCACAGTTCATTTGCATGCTAATTAGGTTATTTATAGACCTAGAGCTGGTATATCTTGATTGCGTCAGCTGGAGGTGACAGATAGAGTATATATTACCTAAAAGCTGACTGGTTGACTCCAGGAATAATGGATGTTAAACTGGAAACTGACATGAAAAATGTGTAAATATGATTTTAATTTGGACTTCACCTGTCCAGTTGAGCATATGTATAATGTATAATGTAAATTAATGCATGTTTTTGTGTGATTTATATGTGTGAAGTAAACAAATGTGACAGGATCAGTGCTAGTTAAGCTCTGTGACAGAAGTTCTGGCACAAATTACCACAGAATCATGATTTTGATTTGAGAATCACAATTTGATTTAAAGCCTGCATGAAGATTATTAGTTCTGAACAAACTGTTGTTTTCCATTTTGTCAACTGGAATAAGTCAGAATGTGCTGTAACTTTTCAGATTGATTGATTGAGATGGTTCACTTATTCTTTCTTTCTTTTTTTCACTCTTCAGGACACAGTGTCTGTTCACAGACCGTCTTTCTATGCAGACAGGTTCTTCAGATTTATGAGCACTACTGTATTCAGAAAGACTTCCTGTGAGTGAATTGCTTCTGAGTTGAACGTGCATTGCTCAATTTCATAGATTAATTTCATATTCTGCATGAAAGTTACTGTTAAAGTAATAACAATGCACCGATATGAAGTTTTGGCTGACACCAATAAATATTTATTTTAATAGCCAATAACGGATAAATGGTTCTTGATAAAATTCTATAGTATTTGGTCTAAATAAATTAATAAATAAAACTTTAAAATTAATAATTTAAATGCTACAAATGAATTTAGGCATCACAGCATTTTAATGTACAGTAGAAAAATGGATATTCAATTGGTTATTAAATTATATTATGAAATACAAAAATTTCTAAAACTGAAAAAATTATAATAAATCAAAGCTATGTAGAAATATAAAAAACTAGAGAAATATAAAAAAAAAACAAAAGCACAACAAAATTACTAAAACTAACTACATTTAAACTGAAATTAAAACTGAAAATATAAAAATAAACCTAATTCAAAATCTTAACAAATACTATAATAATATAGAAATATATTACTATAATACTATAATAGCACTGCATACAACAAAAGCATAACGTGAACATGGGCTATCAAACAGACAAAATTATTAGTTTTTTAAAGATTAACTTTAAGTGGTCAAAGTTAGAACCATTAGATATTGGCAAAGGTAATCTGAATTTTAAAGAAGAGGAAATGAGCATGTACAAGTAAATGTCTGGTATTGATCGGTTTTAAAAAGCTGTAATATCGGCCGATAAATTGTTTTTAAAGATTAACTTTAAGTGATTAAAGTTAGAAGCATTAGATAATGGCAAAGGTAATCTAAATTTTAAAAAAGAGGAAATGAGCATGTACAAGTAAATGTCTGGTATTAATCAAATTTAAAAATTTGTAATATCGAATGATTACTGATCAAGTGTTTTTAAATATTAACTTTAAATGATTAAAGTTAGAAGCATTACATAATAGCAAAGGTAGTCTAAATTTAAAAAAGAGGAAATGAGCATGTACAAGTAAATGTCTGGTATTGATCAATTTTAAAAACCGTGATATTGGCCGATAACCAATAAATTGCCGATATATTGTGCAATCCTATGAAAGTAAAAAGGTATTTTAAAAGTGACGGCTAAAATTTATATGACACTTATGTCAACAAATAAAAAGACAAGTTAGTTATTACCTATTGGCTATCATACTTGATATTTATTTTTAGAGAAAAACGAAAGCCACAGTAGTTTTCAGGAAAATCCTGACCTTAACCCTGCTAATGAAAGAAACGACATACTTCATTTGCGCTCATGATATTGAACGTATTTTATTACTGAAGTGCATTATAAACCTCATTCTTTCAGCACTGAAATCCTCTCCGTCAAAGAGGGGTCGTGGGGGTCTGGCTGCGGCCAAATACAGCGGTCCCGGGGCGGCTTGGTCGGCCAGCCAGCTGCCGTTTGTAAGAGACGAAAACATCTACGACTTGAGAGGAGCCCATAGCTTCCCCACACTGGAAGACGATGGTAAACAATAGACGAAGTACATTCTTCATTCTCAACCATGAGAACTTAATGGCTTTAGTCACGCTTAAATTCGGTTTCAGGTCGGGCAGATGTACTTCCCTGCACCCCTCCCTCGTTCGAGGAGGCCACCACAGCCTCCATCGCCACCACGCTCTCCTCCACCACCTCCCTTTCCATCCCAGAACGCTCCCCGTCGGACACCTCCGAACACCCGCGCTACAGGTAACACCCCGTCTGTCGCTCTGTAATATTTCCACGTCTCGGCCGTAGCAGGTACAATAAACTCTCTGTTTTCTTCAATACAGGAGACACACCCAGTCCAGCCATGAAGAAACGTAAGTAAAACACACTGGTCTGCTAGATCTTCTGAAGCCGTATGATAGTTTTGTGACTGAAATTACCGAGTTTGTTTCATTAGCAGACTTTACTATGTTTATATCTCTCTTGGGTTTGATCTTCTCCTTAAAGGGGTCCTATTATGCTTTTTCACTTAACAGAACAGCATACGTTGTTTACGTCCAGCTGATATTCTCCAAAATGGCGCTACAGGGTGATGCGGAGGAGATGAATTGTTAAATAAAGTCGTTTTTTTCTTTTCTTTTGCGCACAAAATGTATTCTCGCAGCTTTGTAAAATTACGGTTGAACCCCTGATGTCACATGGATTATTTTACAGATCTCCTTGCTTCATTTCTGGGTCTGGGAACATTTCAGTTGCGTTGCTGTCTATGCAGGGTCAGACAGCTCTCAGATTTCATCAAAAATATCTTAATTTGTGTTACGAAGATGAACGAAGGTCTTACGGGTTTGAAATGACATGATGGTGAATAATTAATGACAGAATTTTCATTTTTGGGTGAACTATCCCTTTAATGAAAGGAGAACTGTTAGTTATGTAGTTCATGTGGTTTAGTTGAGCCCTCTGCTGGTCTTGTTGTAGAATGCAGGATGAGGACCAGCAAACCATCACAGTGGAGGTGGAAGTGGAGGGACGATATGACAGTGAACCCACCCTCGCGGCTCCCCAGGTATCGCCGGAGATCAGGTACGCACTCAAAACTGAGAATCTGCTTTCACGTAATATTTCATATTTACTTATGAAAGCCAGATATTGTTGGACATACTGAAAAAAAGGTCTTGGTGAAGTGTAATGGAATTAAGGCAAGTAAAAAAAAAAGATGATTTAAATGCAAATGCATTGCCGCTAAATCAAAAGCAGTGTGGATGTAAGATCAGGGGTATCATGGGAATGAGGAATTAGATGTGCTCCATTCAGCTGAGCTCACCTGCTGTAGCTCCTCATAGTGATGGGAATATGACACCATGACAACTGCCACAGAGGAACATAACCAAACAGGAAACGCTTAATCACATTGGCAATAAGTACCCAAATGTTTTTGTGTTAGTCAGGACCAGTGGCAATATACCCAAAAATGTAATTTCTATAATAAATAGTAATATAACATGAAAGTATAATTAAATTTATTCCTTCTTTATTTAAATAGTATTTATTTATTAGAAAATATGTATTATTTATTCGTCCTCGTTTTACAGCAAATCAATGTGACTTTTGAACCTTTGAAGATATTTTGAAGAAAGTTCATGCTGCACACTTCCATACAAATTGCGTAGCATTAAATAAAACTAAAACTATTAAAAAATAGTTTTCGGGGATTGATTGAGCTAAAAAAAAATAAAGTGAAATAAATTTAATATATATATTAGTTGAAAAGCTTAAACTTAAAAAACTTAAAAATGAGAAACAGAAATAAACACGTTAAAGTACTAAAATTACACAAAAAAAACTGAAATAAAAATAAATTAAAGCTGTATAGAAATATATATAAAAAAATAATAATAAAAATGACAAAGGTGCATAACAAATTTACTAAAATGTAAACAACAATTAAAATGATAACTGAAAATATAAAAATAAAAGCTAATTCAAAATATTCATAATAAATGTAAATGTCTATAAATAATTATAATATAGCACTGCATACATCAAAAGTATATAGTGACCATGGGCTGACAAATGGATAAAAAAGCACCAAAAAAGTGGCCCATACAATTTCGACTCTATATTCCAACTTTTCTGAAGAGTGAATTTTATGGTTTATTCACTGAAAATCTCTAAATTGTTTTTTATTTTTCTCTTCCACATGTATAGTGACGCTACAGAGACGTTTCTAGAAGCCTCGTCCTCCTCCGTCCCGGCGAGCCCCAGGATAGTGGTAGAATCTGACGGCGGCAGTCAGGCCTCAGGCTGTACGAGCCGAGCTTCTGTGGATGAGGATGAGGATGTGCCAATTACAGACATTTATTTTGTAAGCACTCCACTCCTCTGAACTAAACATATGTGTTTTTAATAATGTTATGAAGCATTTATATAGAGTAAGAACCACCTAAGGTCAAAACATAAAAGAACATAATCAGATGAGTATGCACTGCAAAATATCATTTTTAATCAGTATTTTTTGTCTTGCTTTCAAATAAAAGTATTTAAACATTCTTAAACATGATACAGCTTTTCAATTAAAATATTAAGTCTTGGATTGTTTATTTTTTGTAATCCATAGTCAAATATGTTTTCTACTTTTTTAAAGTAGTTTTTAAACTCTTAACAATATTTAATTAGGTTTATAGTTAAAATATATTTAATAAAAATCCAATGCCGTAACTTTAAAATTCATTTATATGTATCTTGATTAAAGGATGTTTATATATTTTAACTCAAAAAATCCCATAAGAAACTGTATATTGCATAAAGAAAATTGAAGCCTGTTTTAGATCCAGTAACATTTTTGCATTATTTTTATGACAATATTTTCAGAATATTTTCCCTCTAATTCACATTTATGTGCTCATTACTGTCATGCAAAAAGAATATATTATTTAAATTGTAAAGTATGTATACATCATGGTAGTATTTGCTATATTTTTTCAATTTATGCTGGTTCTATTTTTTGTTAATGTAATTACAGTTACAAGTATGTCAAATATATAAAAATTTAATAGAAAAATATTTAAACATTTAATAAAAATGTAAGGGGTTTTATGCCTAACTGTAATGAAAGTAATGTCACAGCAGTAATAAAAATAAGACTTTTAGATTTTATTCATGTAAAATATAATTTCCTTTTGGGGTTAAATACGACCATGACATGTTCTTGATAGACTGTGAGATTCATCCAGTAGTAAACAGTGCTAATGCAACCATTGTTGGATTACTGGTAACTAAAGGAAACATCTCCAAAACTAGACAGAATCTCACAGAGGGTCTCTGTTGGCCTGTGGGTGGGTGTTTGTGTGCCGAGGTTTTAGGAGCTCCGCTGGGTCTTTATTTTCATCTTCTGCATGACAGTATAAGACCCATTGAAATGAAGTTCCAGTCCTCTTATTTATTGCTAAATGCTGAGGATATCATTGTATGTGTTAATTTTGAACACCAGTACAATAGACACATTCTGACCCATGAATGACAAAACACATGGACGTGCCAATGCATCCACAGGGATGTCTCAGAGGACAAACTTGAGAAATGGCCATCATTATCATTTGTTAGTCCCAAAGAGGCTCTTAAATCTAGAGGCCTAGAGACGTGCAAGCGCCACCTCTTGAATTATTCATCCATTAACACCCTGCACCAGCTGCTCCGTCGCTCTTTTTCTCTTATTAATGGAGCTGTCAATTTTTTCATTTATCGACTGCTAAACAGCACTCCATCTCCTTGACTTTTTCATTACCTTTCTGCCATCTTTCATTGCCTGCCGTCTCTGTTTGTCCATATCTCTTTTGTAAGTTCTCTGATGGCAGCATCTGTGTTTGTCAGCCCGTCACACACAGAAGAAGGCATGCTGTAAGTTTTATAGCTGAAACACTTTAAACTAGTTGTAGAGGTAGTTTTAGAAAAGTTAGCCTCTGACGTTTAGACTAGTGTAACTTTTTGTAACCCTTGACTATTAAACAGGCTGTTGTTGTTACTGTACCTTTAAGACTTCTGTATGCAAATGAGCCAACATAAGTGTGAAATTGTTTTGAAAATTTAAATATATTTTAGCTAGTTTCCAAGGCAACATTTCTCCTTTTCATTTAGTTTAATGGGTTAGTTCACCCAAAAATTAAAATTAGCCCATGTTTTACTCACCCTCAAAGCATCCTAGGTGTATATGACTTTCTTCTTTTAGACGAATCCAATCAGAGTTATATTAAAAATTGTCCTGGCTCTTCCAAGCGTTAGAATGGGAGTAGGTGGGTGTTTTTGTTCAACAGTCCTTAAGTAGTCAAATAGCGAATCGATACGTTTCACAACGTATCGTAAAATATCAATATGTAAAAATGTGACATTTTTATCTCACTTTCGCTGACTGTTGTACGCGGAAGCCGTTCCTGGCGGATGACGTCACGCACGCGCCTCTGAGATATGCTAGGGTGCGTCTCAATCAGCTCCCTAGCTCCCGAGCTTGTGAATCAGTAGATCGTGTACACGAATTCGGGCACTGGTAAGTTCGCTGACTCACTGCACGTTAGAACAGTGATCACTCGAATTCCAGTGACATGATTACATAAAAGAAAATAATAATAATAATAATATTAATATAACTCTAAGTTCAAACTCTTTCCATTAATCTTGTCTTTTTTAAATACTTAAACAATTCTCCATATATTCTTGATTGCATTACCCCATAACCTAACAGTGTCTTTAGAGATATACCGGTACTATTAATTCCCATCAGTTCCAGTTCTTGGAACATCTGATGTCTTTCCCTTTCATACGCTATACATAAAGAACATGCTCAACCGTTTCTGGTAGTCCACATTTATCACAATTGCCTGTTTCATGTTTCCCTATTATGTGCAAACTGTTATTTAATGCTACATGTCCTATTAAGCAAAGTTTCCTTACTTTAGCAAAGGAAAACCAGTTTCTTCTTGGCTTATATTGAAATCCTCCTACATTTTTCTTTACAAATCCTCATTTTGTGCTTCTAATTCGTGACCGGCGTTTTGTTTTGTTCTCT